TTAGGTTTGATGGAAGTTCTCTGAACCTTCCAATCATTTCTTCTTCATCTGTCGATACCTCTTTCTGAGCATTTTTGGTATCTGAATCTTTATTTAGTGGAGCCTCAGTTATGCATTTTTCTTCACAAACACTGATCGCATAAGATGCAATTGATTCCCTTATAAAGAATTGCTTAGGAAAATATTCTATCCATTTTACAGGTGTGCGAGAATGTAAGTTATAGTCTTCATCATCAATGATTGTCAGCTGGGAAGATACTCTTCTTTTTCCTCCACGTCTTTGATTTTGGTGAGAATGAGGTCTCCTATTTGTTTTGGGGTGTTTTGGCTTATTAGTTAGAGTAGATGAATGTTGTAGCTTACGCACTCTCCGAGGCTTCACCATAGTCCATTCCCCCAAATCTTCTTCAGTAGCTACAAAATCATCCAAATGAGGCTATCCACTTGGATTGAGATCCAAAATAGGTGCTCCTAGAATGAGCTCCGAGTTGCCTAGTAGATTAGACTACTATGTGTTAGTAATCGAGGTTCGATATTTATCCTTTTTGCTGGCAAAGGTTGACCAACCATCCCCGATCTCGTCTTCTGATTCAGACGATGATGCCCAAACACCTAGATCATCTTTCATGAGTTCAAAAAGTGTTGGAATGTTGGAATTTTTATGCCTCGACATACCTAGGTATTCATATACCGTTGTTATCTCATCATCAACAATTAACTATACTTGCACAGCTCCTTCAGGAAGAGGAACAGTAAGTTCTTTACTTTTGGTTGACGGTGTTTCTTCTACAGAGATAGAAGAATTCAACAGTTGTGATGGTTCTTTATGATGTATCGGAGGTGATGATTGTGCTCCTTTGTTTGAAATTGGTATAGGGTCGAAAGACCCAAAAGTGACCATTGTCACATTTATAACTGTCATTTCTTCGCTAGAATCGAGTTTAATTTTTTTCTCGTTCAATAAACAAATAATCTCTTCTTTTAAGATAAAACATCTTTCAAGGGGATGACTAATAATCCGATGAAATTTACAATACTTCAGATTATCAACCCTTTCCGATTCTTCTGGCCGCTTGGGTGTTGGAAGCTTGNTTTCTCGTTCAATAAACAAATAATCTCTTCTTTTAAGATAAAACATCTTTCAAGGGGATGACTAATAATCCGATGAAATTTACAATACTTCAGATTATCAACCCTTTCCGATTCTTCTGGCCGCTTGGGTGTTGGAAGCTTGATAAGTTTTAACTCGAGTAGCTGATCAAAAATATCTGACACTTCATCATCAGTGAAGGGATATTTCTTCTCTTAAAATTCTTTCAAACTTGGTCTTGTCTTCTTTTGAGTCTGATCTTGATTAAATTTGACTTGGAAGTCTGTCTTTGGCTTTTTATCAAAAATCTTCACCAGTGTAGTGGAGATTGCCAAAGATTCTTTTGATTTGGAGACTTTCACATCTTTCTTCATGTCTTTATTTACGTCTCTCTTTTCACGAGGGTTGCTGAGAAAGTAACTTCCGTGCTTGGAAATTTGAATTTCCAAGTCATGGGCTCGTGTTGCAAGTTCTTTAAACGTATGGGACATGTTTCCTTGGAGACTGTAGAGTAGTCCCCAATGCATTCCCTGGACACACATATCAATTGAAGAGGCTTCACTAATGCATTCCTTGCAATTGAGAACAAGACTCTTCTAGCGTTCAATGTAATCAATGATAGCTTCGTCTTTTCTTTGCTTTGTTCCTGCAAGTTCAGGAAGACTTACCACACGTTGAGTGCTGTAAAAACGAGTGAGAAACTCTCGTTCAAGTTGGTCCCAACTGTCAACAGTTCCAGTTGTTAGATCAGTGTACCAGTCAAATGCAGCCCCTCTGAGGGCACGCATAAATTCTTTCACCATCAGGTCACCGTAGGTACCGACATTATTGCATGTTTCAATGAAATAAACAACATGCTATTTTGGGTTGCCTTTCCCATCAAACTATTGAAACTTCGGGGGTTGGTAGCCTATTGGCATTTGTATCTCGTCAATTCATCTAGTATATGGCTTCGCACATACTAACGAAGACTGGGGAGCTCCTCCATACTGGGCTTGAATGGTATCAACAATCATATGTTGAAGTTGTTGGACAGAGAGTGCGGCAACCGACATTTGAGAAGAATCTTGCATGGCATTTTGCGCCACGACGCGATTATATTGCTCTTGTTTTTGTTGTTGTTCTAAAAACTTTGGATTTTCTGGCATTTTAGTCCTTGAAGGACTTGAAATTTCTTGACTGCTTCCTTTTGAAGGTTCTTGCAATTCAAGCCGGTTCATGAGTGCAACGATTTGTATTTCTTTACCTTCAAGGGCTTTGGTCAACTTCTCGACCGTAGCAGTGAATTGTTGAAGATATTCTTCAGATGAAGTGACTTCCGTCACTATCACAAGCATAGGCATATCAGAGGACAAGGAATAATCACCCCACTTCTGTTTAGGAGAAATCTCGAAGTAAAATTCAGTCTTCGAGCCTGTGCTAGAGTGTGTGTCGGGCAAAGAATTGTCCGTCTCTTCCTCCAGATCGATAGAAGAATGAGCAGGTTGTCTTTTTCTGCTTGGAAAAACTTTCCTTTTGCTTTGCCTAGATCGATGCTCCATCGGTGGCAAAATTTGAGATTTACCCACTTTTATTCTAGCACGGGTTGTTGGAATTGACTTCTTGACCAAGTCTGTTGACTTGTCAGTAGGAGGAATCACGATGTCTTTAGTTGTCATTGTTGTAAGCCTTGTTGATTTGAGAGATGAGAGGAAGAGAGGTTCCCACTAGGCGTGCCAAAATTTGTAACGACAAATTTTCGTGAAATGAATTAACACAAAATAAGGTCAAATTATAATAGGCAATTTGATTGACTTTAAGTAAAAAAAAGTAGTGTTGACTCTCCTCACTGTCCACTGATTCTCGATAAATTTGATGAAGTTGATGAATTTGGTGAAGATGAGGTTCTGATTGGCGTATTTCTCACTCTTCAATTGGTGGCTTTGATGAAAATGAGAGCTGGATCAATATATCTCCTACTCTTCAATTTGAAGATGCTTTTGATAAATCTCCTCACCGTTCTTCATTTGGAATGGCTTGAAGATGATTTGAATTTCTTGAAGAAGGACCTTGGCGGTGTGTTCTTCATCTTGGAGATGAACTTGCAAGGCTTTAAGGCTTTAATGAACTTTGAGCAGAGCTTCGCCAATCTTCCTTTCTTCTTGGCTTCTTCTCCATTTTTCTCCTTTTGGCCCTCCCCTATAGTGCTAAGAGTAGTCATTCATATAAAAGTGATAGTTATCCATATAAAAGTCCTTATTACTCTTATATGGGCTTTAGGTAGTGGGCTACCCATAAATTTGTAGGCTTTAATTAATTTATGGAATTTAAGTCCAACCAATTTTACCTTTTGAAAATTTATTTAATTTGGGCCTATAGAATTTAAGTATTTTTTTAATTTAACAAGCCTGATTAATTGTATTTGGGCTTGTATTATTTAGGCTATGAAATTTAGGTCCAATTTAATTTAATTTAGCAGCCTTGTTAATTAAATTTGGGCTTGTATAATTTAGGTTATGGAATTTAGGTCCAATCAAATTTTATTTATCTAATTGATTTGAGCTCAATTATAGACATTAATTTGTTAATTAAATTTTTAATGTCTACAGTTACCTCAATTTCTCCGAGCATTGTCTGAAAAATTATAGCTTCTGGTTCCTACAAACTAGAGCTTTTGAAAACTCATGGCATTGTTCTCCCTAGTTGCTTGCTTAAACATCCTCTTTCTCTCATGTTCAACGTTAGGCTTCTTTCTAGTGACCACCAATGCCCTGAATGGGAATGAAACCGACCGGCTAGCACTGCTTAAATTCAAGGCCAAAATAGTTGATGATCCGACAAGGTCTCTAAGCTCATGGAATGATTCCATCCACTTCTGCTAGTGGCGCAGTGTGATATGCAGTCACCAACACCAGAGGGTCGTTGTGTTAGGCCTACAACATCAGAAGCTCACAAGGTCCATATCACCCTACCTCGAAAATTTGAGTTTCTTGCGAGAGTTACTTCTTGATAACAATAGCTTCCATCAACAAATTCCACAAGAACTTGAACATTTGAAAAGATTAAGATTGTTGTGACTCAGGAACAATTCACTTGGTGGTGAAATTCTCGCCAATATATCTAGTTGTTCTAACCTAGTTGAGGTTCGACTTTCTTGGAACATGCTAGTAGGAAAGATTCCTATGGAGTTCGGCTCACTGTCAAAACTCCAGTNGTACACGCTTTCTCAGCGGGTGAGATTGTTGCAGGGCTCTCCTCAAGACCAGGTCTTAGGATAGCGTGGTCTTTACTCCAAGGTGGCGTGCATGAGGCTCTTGGATGACGCTTCCTACTCCTTGATGACGTGGCTCTTGGAGCCTTGATGATCTTGACTAGGCATGAATCTCTTTATGGGGTGGGTCCATCGAGTTTTGCCTAGCTGTGTTAGGCTTTGGGTTGAGCCCATTATTTGCCCCCCAAATGCCCCGAGTCCAATGAGACTTGGAGAAGAGAGCATTTGAACTTGGACTCTAACTCACGAACACTTCTCTTGACTAATAACTTCTTTTCGTTCTTGATATAGTTCATCTCGTTAGGATATCCTTTGCTATGAAAACTTTTCCCTATTCTATCACTTACTAGGAATTAAAAACCCCAGGCTAGAAATTGAGACTTTTCCCTTTCTTTCCATCCCATTTATCTTGAGAGAAGGTTTCTTGTGAGATGCTCAAGAAGAAAAGTAAGGCTAGTGGTGTTGCTACTAAGTTAAGTGCCTAGAGATCGATGTCGAGTGAAAGAGAGGAGATGCTAGAGGCCATCAATGTCAGCGGGGAGTCAGGTAATGATGGAGTTGTTGATGCAAGAGCTCAAGTGAACGTCAGTGAGGCAATAGGTGATATGGGTGTTGGTGAAAAGATGACCCAAGTAGGCCTCAGAGGCGAGACAAATTAGGATGGTGCCGAAGGCGAGGCGACCCAGTCAGCGGGCATCGAAGGAAAGACTACCCAAGCAGTGGGCACCGAAGGTGAGGCACCATGAGCTGGCGCTGATCAAGAAAAAAGGGGCATGTTGGGTGCTGGGAGAAGGCGGTGGAGCCTGTAATGCTGGCATCATCGAGGGTTGGACATGGCCATGTGAATGCGCTAGTAGCGTCGCTGGGCGCTGGGCATGGCCAGGCAGGCGCGCAGGTGGCGTCGATGGGGCCAGACACAAACATGTGGCGTTGTGCACTGTGGAGGTGTCCACACTCAGTGAGGTAGGCATGACGGCAGTGGATGCCGGGCACGAAACTTTGGAGCTTGGACACAGTGTTATGGAGCTTGGGCACAGAGCTATGGTGGAGGGTATGCTGGGAAATGCTAATGTTTTAGGCGGCAACGACTGCAGGCAAGTGGTGGATGGTATGACTCGTTCAGGCGAAACTTCATGTAGTCATGTCCTTCAAGGTTCTCCTAGTAGTGGCCCAAACAATGCCTCTCTTTATCCTCACACTAAAAAACATCGAGGAAAGGTAGCTCTTGATGACGACGGGTCCAATGTAAGTACTATTTCTAGTCCTCTCAATATTGATGCTAACATTCTCCGGATTGTTTCCACTTCTAACATTCTTCTAACAGTGTTGTGCTGCCGAGCAGAAATAGATGAGTCTGCTTGTGATGATTCTTCTGGTGATACTGCTATTTATGAGGAGGTGCTTGAGGCAAGGCTAAGGTTTCTCATGCCTTCCTCTGTCTATCGCATCCTCCATTGTTTCTTACTTGCGCCAGGGCGCTTGGAACCCAATGGTTGGAGGGTTCTTCTAGGATTTCTGGCACTATGAAGGAGAGTGCATCATGAGGATGTTTCTCCTGAGGAGTTTTGTGTGGCCTATACTTTGAGTGAGACTCCTACTTCCAATCGTGGCTCGTATTACTTCACTCCGAGGGGAAGAAAGCTGATTGTTGGGCTCTGCTCTAATTATCATAGTTGGAAAGCTCGCTTCCTCTTTGTTGGTGGAGAGTGGGCTTTAAAGGTCGATAGGGCTTTGGTTTCGGCGAGATGGGACACTCCCAAGAGAATTGGTACAACTACTTTCATTTTTCTTTACTTTTTTGGCAAATGTGTCCTTATCACATTTTTTCCAAGCTCTCCGGCGCTTTCAAAAGATCAGGAATGAAAATTGCATGTTGTGAAGGCTTATCTTGTTAAGGATTTTTGGAACCCTCATGCTTAAGGAGGGTGAGGCTAGGGACCCCCTTCTGGAGGTGCTAAAGTTGGTGCATCTTCTTCTAGGCCTGGCGGCTCCTCTATGAAGAGAAAAATGTATGTTGATTACCTTAAATTTTCCTTTCTTTACTCGGTTTTTCTTCAGGGTACCACTTTACCCTTCTGCAGTGGATAGGACAATGGTGGAGTCCCGTTATTCTACTAGGAACACTCTTCCACCCAAGATGGCTAGGGTGAGTGATGCTCTAGCAAGATCTTCTCAGATGACCCCTCTAGTAGCACCTCCCCAATCAGTGACTCCTTCAGAGGTTCTTGTGGTGACCGCTCCTTCAAAGACTCCTAAGGCGACTACACTTTTTGCCCTCCCCATTCATCAAACCCTCATGCAAGGACTTCTACAAGGGCAGGCTCCTAGACTGTCTCCATGCTAGATGATGTGCGGATTATTAGGGAACGACTTGGGAGATTCGTGTTCCCTATAGAGATTGGGCAGGTTGGTGCTCGAAGCACCGAGGGCATCATTGACACTGTCTTGAAAGGCTTGGCACAAGTGAGGATTTGTTATCTTCCTCGCCTTTGTGCTTTCTTTTGGGCGTGTCTATATGCCTTTTTTCAAGGGCCATTCAGTTTAAAAATCTAAGCTCAACTATTAGGGAAGAAAGACTTACTCATGAAGCTGTGAAAGGGGAGTTACTGGCAGCTCATAAGAGGATTGCTAAGCTCGAGGTTGATGGCGAGGCTTTCTAGATTGAGCTTGTGGTGACCTGTGAGAGGGTCGTGCTCAGTAAGGTTGCTTGCACGAGAGCTGAAATAGAGCTTGTGACAACCCACGAGAGGGTTGCTAAGCTGGAACCTGATGGTGAGACTACTACTTGAGAGTTGAAGCAGAGTTGAAGGCTGCTTACGAGAAATTTTCTTGTGCTGAGGCAGATCTGTGATTGGCTCTTGAGAGGGCTGCCAAGGCCAAGGCTGATTCAGAGAATGGCTTTGCAGATACTTTTATTGATGGCTATGAAGAGTTTCAGAGAAAGATTTCTACTGCTTTCCCTCACATTGACTTTTCGGGTTTTCTCCCATATGAGGTGCCACCGAGTGATGATGATGATGACTCTAATAATGCAGAGGACGAGGTCGAGGAGGGCGAAGGTAGTGAGAGCAGTCAGAGTGCTGAGGACTCTTGATATTTTTTTTTCTTTTTGGGTTGGTAGATAGGTAGTGTGTTGCCTTGTGTTTGTAAAAAATAGTTTTTTGCCACTAATGTCTATTTGAAATAGAATGCGAGGGACCTTTGGAGTAAACTCAAAATTTTATTTCATGGTTAATCATAAACAAGCAACGGTGAGCCATAATCCCAAAAAATGTACAAGTCTTTCGACTAAAAGGGAAAAGAAAATAAAAAAATCAAGTCTTTCATCTTTATTACTCCTGCCCTCTTCAAGTGTTATTGATAGTACCCCTTGAGATGCTCATCATTTCATGAATGAGGTAAGATTTTTCCCTCAGAATTCTGGATTCTGTAGGTGTCTGGACTCACTATCTCTGTCACGATGTAAGGCCCTTCCCAATTTGGTTCAAACTTCCCTTCTCGTGAATCCTTCGTGGCGAGGAATACTTTCTTGAGAACTAGGTCTCCTGGTAGGAAGGAGTGAGGCTTCACCCATCGAGTTATAGTTTCTCGTCATGTGATGCATGTACTCCGCGTTCCGGACCATGGTCATCTCTCTTTCCTTCTCCACCAAGTTAAGGTTGACGCGGAGTTCTTCCTCATTGATGATGGGGTCATGGTGTTGGACCCTTAGAGAATGTATGCAATCTCCACAGGTATGACTGTTTCGGTTCCAAAAGCGAGTGAGAAAGGAGTGTCTCCAGTTAGGGCCCTTGGCGTCGTTCGGTAGGCTCATAATACACTCGGGAGCTCTTCTACCTAAAGTCCTTTTGCTCTTTTCAACCTCATCTTCAGATTGTGTTATAATATCCTCACTATGACCTCTGTCTGCCTATTTGTCTGCGGGTGTGCGAGGGTTAGAATGAGACTGCTTTATTTGGAGGTCGACACAAAAAGAGTTTAGGAGCTTGTTATCAAACTACNAATACACTCGGGAGCTCTTCTACCTAAAGTCCTTTTGCTCTTTTCAACCTCATCTTTAGATTGCGTTATAATATCCTCACTATGACCTCTGTCTGCCCATTTGTCTGCGGGTGTGCGAGGGTTAGAATGAGGCTGCTTTATTTGGAGGTCGACACAAAAAGAGTTTAGGAGCTTGTTATCAAACTACTTGACATTGTCATTGACTATGGCGTGAGGCATTCTAAAGCGACAGACTAGGTTTTTTCAGATAAAATCCTTAACCTTTATGTCTGTTATCTTGGCTAGGGGCTTGCCCTCCGCCCATTTTGTGAAGTAATCTATACCTACTACCACAAATATACACTATCCTTGGCTCATGGGTAGAGGGCCCAAGATGTCGATGCCCCATTTGGAGAAGGGCCAAGGACTTGTGATTGTTGTCAACTCTTCTGGTGGTTGTTTATGCACAGTGGCGAAGCATTGTCACTTGTCACATTTTTTGGTGAATTCCTGAGCATCCATAAACCATGTTAGTCCAGTAAAAATCTTGTCCGACTACTTTATGGGCTAAGGAGCATCCTATAGAATGGTTTCCATAGAATCCCTCATAGATTTCTCNTTTGGAGAAGGGCCAAGGACTTGTGATTGTTGTCAACTCTTCTGGTGGTTGTTTATGCACAGTGGCGAAGCATTGTCACTTGTCACATTTTTTGGTGAATTCCTGAGCATCCATAAACCATGTTAGTCCAGTAAAAATCTTGTCTGACTACTTTATGGGCTAAGGAGCATCCTATAGAATGGTTTCCATAGAATCCCTCATAGATTTCCCGTATGGCGTAGTCAGCTTCCTCTGGGGAGAGGCAGCGAAGTAGTGGTAGAGAATAACCCTTTTTATATAGGATGCCCTGTAGGATGGTGAACTTGGAGGCTCTCATTATAAGCTTCTTGGCTTCCAATGAGTTGTTTGGCAGTGTGCCTTCTTGAAGGTATGTCATGATGGGGGTCATCCAATTGAACTTAGAAGATATGCAGCTGACGTCTGTGGCCTCTACGCCTGGTCTGCTTGGTTCAAATTGGTGACTAGTCAACGTTAGTCCTGGCGAGGCTTTTGAGGATGAGGCAAGTCTAGCTAGTGCATCTGTTATGATGTTGTCTTCTCTTGGAACATGGTGAATTTGAAAATTGTGGAAATTGGCTAGCAAGGCTTGTGCCATTGCCAAGTATTCTTGCATCCTGGCTTCCTTTGCTTCGAACTCCCTCTTCACTTGGTTGACTATCAGTTGAGAGACACTGTAGGTGATAAGGTATCGTACTTCCATTTCAACTGCAAACCTTAGGCCAGATAGGAGATCTTTGTATTCTGCTTCATTGTTGGAGACTGCAAAATGAAGCTTTACAGCACAATTGATTGGAATGCCATTGGGGCTAATTAGAATTAGGCCTGCTCTACTTCCTTCACTGGTTGAAGAGTCATCCACAAAAAGTTTCCAGCACATTGACTCTATGATGTAGGAAGATAGCAGAGTGGGAGCCTCGAAGGCTGTGGTTGACACCAAGGCATCTGCCTTAGGCGCCAGGGCAAGGCAACTGGGTGTCTGGTGGGACTCCTGATGAGGCTTACTGGATGTCTGGTGGAGATGCTGAAGGTCCACAACACTTCTCCTCCGACGGTGTGAGCTCAACAACAAAATCTGCCAAGACTTGTGTTTTGATGGCTGCCCTAAGCTAGTACTGCACATCGAATTCACCCAACTTTACTGCCTACTTGAGGAGTCTTCCAAAAACATATAGCTTTCCCAAAATTATCTTCAGAGGCTGATCTATGACGACAATGATAGTATAACTCTGGAAATAGTGTCGAAATTGCCTAGCTGTTGAGATCAGGACGAGTGCTAACTTTTCTAGCCATGAATACCTTACCTCTACTCCCCAGTATGCCTTTCTTACGCAAGAAACAGGTCTTTGTAATCTTTCATTATCTCTAATGTGGACTGAACTTACTGCAGATGAAGAGGTAGAGAGGTAATAAGTATAAGGATTCTCTTGGCATGGCATGAGAGAGGAGAGGGGTCGCAGTTAGATAGGTTTATAATTTTTGAAAGGCTTTCTCTACGTCAGGCCCCACTCAAAGGCTTTCCGAAGAATTCTGAAGAAGGTCAAACACTTGTCTGCAGACTTGAAGACAAATCTGTTGAGAGCTGTAATTCTTCCATTGAGACGCTGGAGCTCTTTGGTTGTGGTGGCTGGTCTCATATCTAGAATGACTTTGATTTTATCTGGATTTGCTTCGATTCCCCTTTGGTTGACCATAAAATCCAAGAACTTTTCTGATCCGACACCAAAGGCGCACTTCTCAAAGTTCAGCTTCATATGGTACATTCTGAGAACATCAAAAGTCTCCTATAGGTGATCTACGTGGTCTGTTGCGGCGAGGCTC